ACCTCTGCCAGCATCCTCCGTTAGTCCAAGTCGTCTGATCTCCAAGGTAAATACACTGTATAAAGCCAGTTTATTTCTTTACATTCTCTTTTATTATGTTTTATTATGTTTTTATACAATATTTCTTATTTATAAATACAGTAGGGCCCCACTTATATGGCGGGTTATGTTCCAGGCTATCGCCGGAAAGCAGACATCGCCGGAAAGCAGAACGCCATTTTTTCCATTTATAAATGCATATAAATGCCAGACAAGTTTACACTAAATTATATTAAGTTAGTAATAGAACTAAGCATTAAAAACACAAAAAGTAAAATACATACACAGTACATTCATTACTAATCTTAAAGTATTTGTAATCTTAATGTAGGGCGAGAGGTGAGTAGTACAGTGTACTTATTTGTAGGAAGTCAGGTGTAGGTAGCCCTGGTTCCCCATCTCATACTTAATATACAATATTTAAAACATCCCAGAGTTAAAATACACATACAGTACACTCACTATTTACCTTAAAATATGTGTAGTCTTAATGTAGGAAGAGAGGTGAGTAGTATTTATTTGTAGGAAGTCGGTGTAGGTAGCCATTAGGTGTAACTTGAAGGTGTAGCCCGCCTGGGCTACACCTACCGGCTACCTACACTGTGGTCCAGAGCCATATTATTAACATTGACATACCTCGTTCACTGAATTTAATCGTTTCTAACAACTACCTTTAGATGCCATCATAAATGAAGGAAGAAGTAATGAATAATTCATGCCGAAAATTGTAAACAAAAGCGGAGTAGGGGAGTGGCTGACCCAAACGCAGATTCATACACGTTTTCTCTGGTGCCTGACCAGAGAAAACGTAATGTTATCCCTCCACCCAGCTACCACACAGGTCCACAAGCATTATTATCAGAGCACATATAAAATATGCAATAAATGCCAGACAACAAGTTTACACTAACTTATATTAAGTTAGCAATAGAAATAGGCATTAAAAAACACAATAAAAGGCAAGATACACACAGAGCACACTTATTACTTATCTTAAAATATTTATATTAATGTGTGAGAGGTGAGTGGCAGGGTGTTTATTGAATAAAATCAGAATGGCACACCATCGTCCTCTAACTTGGCACTTAAAGCAAGAGGTTTACGACTCCTCTTTTTATCACAGCTAAGCTTAGACGCCATCATCAATGAGAGCCAACTAGTTAATGAAAGAGTAAACGAGAGAGAGAACAAGATACAGAGCTCAGACAATGTAAGAACACAAACTGAACAAGTAGTGGGCGATCACTTTGTCAGGCGAAATAAATGCGTATTAATGTGTGTCTGCTTTGTAAAACTTTTACCTCACAATATTTTTTTTTATTATAATAATTACCTGACAATACAAATACTCTTACATTGTGTACAAGTTGTACAAGTTAGTACAGAATAAACAAACAGCAACACTCCCATTCTCATGCAACACACCAATTTTAGAGTGAATGAAGATGATGATATTGTTATTATCATCATAATAAAAAAGTGCTAAACCCACAAGGGTCGTGAATTGCTATATACATATATAGATTGAAGGCATATGAAAGGAATATTTTTCTACAGTTATCCCCAGTGTTTGACTGGAGAAAACGTAATTCTTCTGACACTACCTACACAGCCGCTTTGTAAACAAATCTCATATTTACGTCAATTTTTATTCTGTGAGTGTATGTATCATGTTTAAATGCTATGTAACATGTTTCTTATATAATATTGAGGAAAATATCATAGATGGATTAACCCTTTCAGGGTCCAAGGCCCAAATCTGGAGTCACGCACCAGTGTCCAAGAATTTTCAAAAAAAAAATTTGTTATTTTTTCTTATGAAATCATAGAGAATCTTTTTGTGAAGGTAATAAAACAAAAAGTACGAAATTTGGTGGAAAATTGACGAAATTATGCTCTCGCGAATTTTGATGCGTCAGCGATATTTACGAATCGGCGATTTTGCCGACTTTGACTCCCATTTTAGGCCAATTACATTATTCCAATCAACCAAATTCTTAGCTATTTCACTAGTATTACTTCTATTCTATCGATTGAGCACAAGAAATCGCCAATTCAACTGTTTCAACTACAAAATAAAGTGATCGGAAATTGTTAATTTGGCCAATTTAACACAAAGTTCAAATATTCCAATTTCAAAATAGGCTCCAGAATAAACAATGTAGGTATTCCTGGAACTAAACTAACATTTCCTCTGTTCATTAATTACATTTTGAGGCTTTACAAATAAATTCCATTTTTATTTTTTATTCACATAATGAATTTTTATTCACACCAAAAAATAGAAGATTTACTGTTATGCAATACTGTAATAATTGTATAAATATCATCACCATATTTGTGAATGTATATTAGACCCACCAGCTGACGTGTATTAGACGTGTGAGGTCGTTTGTTTACTCTTGAATATCAGCAAAAATTTAACATTTCCGCTACTTTGAGCTCAGTTTCAAGCCATTTCCAGTGCTAAAACCAATCAAAATCATCTCTATTTCTGTAATATGTCTTCCATTCTATCAAATGAGACCAAGAAATCGCAAATACAGCTATAAAAAACATACGAAAAAAACACTGCAAAGTCGCTGTTTTAATCGAAAAATCATGATTTCAGTTTTTTTCTCTCATTATACACAGTGTGCTGCAGGATCTGTTTTATGTGGTGCACACATACCACATAGATGTATTCTCTCATATCTAGGCCCAAATGTACCACTCACAGTTTATCAGAGTGAGCTGAGCTCATGGCGTAGATCTACGGTTTGGACACTCACCGTAAAGCCGTAGATCTACGGGACGGACCCTGAAAGGGTTAATGAAAATGTCTATATTAATGTAAAATAAGACATTTAATGTGCCCAAGAGTGATGATTATTACGTACTATTGGCATCATGAATAGAGAGAGACTTAGTGATTTTAATGTGTACCTGCACACCAGCACAGTGTGTAAGTATATTTAGGTACAAGTACAAATTAGTATAATTATCAGAGTACATATAAAATATGCAATAACTGTAAAACACTTGAAATTTTGGAAAGTTTCCGGACATAATAGATGTGGTCACAGAAAATGTAAACAAATTGGGTGGGGCGTGCTGTATTTGAAAGACCGCTTGCCGTATAGCAAATTTTGGTCATAATTTGACATTGCCGTATTAGCGGAACGCCGTAAAGCGGGGCCCTGCTTTACAAAAAAATTTGGGTGGTTTTTTGGAGGCTGGAACGGATTAATGGCATTTCAGTTAATTTCAGTGAGGAAAATTGATTTGATATACGAGCAAATTGAGTTACGAGCTCGGTCACGGAATGAATTAAACTTGTAAATCAAGGTACCATTGTACTCTACATATCATATACAGGTCTCCCTCAACATTCGCGTTTTCAACCTTCTCGGGCTTCACACATTCGCGAATTCCCAACTGCCAAATCATATTTATGTTGAGGACTTTGAAGTTGATGAACGACATTGATAGAGGCATAATTCCCTACAAAACTCTGTAAATACGAAGAAACGGTCTCAGTTGCCCATCACAATGTTCTTCACAAGGAAGCCTGCCATTACAGTCCCCATCCTTTTACCCAAGGTCCTATCTATGCTAAAACCTTGGGCAGTTTCAAATTTAGGTTGGATAAATACATCAATGAGAGGGGTTGGATTTGAGTGGGACTTGCATGTGAGTAAATAGAATTATCAAAGCTTATTGCTTGGGTAGCATTGAAAATTGAGTTGGGAAAATATTCTGTTAATGTGATAGATTTTGAAGGACCTGCCTAGTATGGGCCAGCAGGCTTACTGCAGTGTTCCTCCTTTCTTATGTTCATATGTTCTTATAACTATACTAGGCAGACTGTTGCACTCATCAACCTAAGGACATAAGAAAGGAAGAACACTGCAGTAGACCTGTTGGCCTATACTTGGCAGGTCCTTCACAAATCCAACCTAGGGACATAAGAAAGGAAGAACACTGCAGTAGACCTGTTGGCCTATACTTGGCAGGTCCTTCACAAATCCAACCCACTAACAGAATAAACACTACCCAGGCAATAAGCTTTGATAATTCTATTTACTCACGTCCAAGTCCCACTCAAATCCAACCCCTCTCACTGATGTATTTATCCAACCTAAATTTGAAACTACCCAAGATTTTAGCTTTGATTGGACCTTGAGTAGCTTTAAAGAGAGATTGGACAAATATATGAGTGGGAGGAGCATGTATGTATATACAATACATATTTTACGATGTTTTCATGTGTTTTATGATTGTTCGTGGTTCAATAGGTTAAGGAAGCAGTATTGTATTAGATTTCCCTACAATATATTGGGGCACCAAACATTCACGATTTTTCAACATTCGCAAGGCTCTTGATCCCCTAACCCTCGCGAGTGTTGAGGGAGACCTGTACACAAAATATATACAATCATTGTAAAACAAATAAATGTAATTGTGAGGTGTGGTAGCTAGATAAGCTACCACATCTGACTTCCTATAATAAATACTACTTATCTCTCACCTTATATTAAGACTACAAATATTTTAAGGTAAGTAATGAATGTATGTTCATTTTATTTTATTTATGATAGTGTAAACATGTTATCAGGCATTTATATGCATTTATAAGTAAAAAAAAAAAAGGTGATTTGCTCTACGGCGGTAGCCTGGAATCCAACCCGCCATATAAGTGGTGCCCTCCCTGTATGGTGGGCATTTGAATTAGATTTTTGTATGCAGGTGTAGACTCTTGCTCCCAGTTGCAGTGGATATCTCTGAGGAGTCTTGGAAAATTAACCAAAATTAGAATCCAAGATGCTAGGGTTCTGAATTTTAGCTTTTTGTATTCTCATATCTAGAATCTCTGAATCTCAGCTTGCAGCCCTATGCTGGGTATGAGGGTTTATAAATGCATTTGATTAAAAAAAATATTTTGTTGGTCATAAAATATTGATTATATATGATTTCCACAGGCACATTTTGTACACTTGACATCTGTATTCGTCGCTTAGAAGAAGTTGGAACAATTGAGGTAAAAGGAACTGTTGAAAAAATTAGGTCCCAAAGAGCATACTCAATTCAGATGCCTGATCAGTATGTCTTTTGCCATTTAGCACTGTTGGAGTATGCGCTCCACAATGGAAAATTAGTAGAAGTTGATCTCACAGGTTTTGAAGATGATGGGTCTGAATCAGACTGAGTTTTATTATTGAAAGACCTGTGAATGACTATATATAAAACTCTTTGTATTAAGATAAATACTGCCAGGTGCAATGAATATGGTGGACCACATAGTAAAAGTGATTATAATTGTATAGCTATGTTACTAAAGAAGAAACAGGACCTTTGTGTGGCACTATGAAATTACAGTTTACATTGTCTGCACTATATAGAAAGTGAACAGTAAAATACTGTAGATTGAAAATAAAGACAGACTTAGTTTCAACTTTAAAGAAAACTGTGCCTGAAAAAACATTGAGGAGGCAGAGTCCTCTCATACAATAGACAATAGGTGCTGCTGAGTGCTTTTGTGTGAGTGATCACTGATGTGAAACAGAAATTTGAGTCTGATGTGATTGATGCACAGAAAATGAAAACTTCTATTTTACATAAGCCTTCACTTTTCTTTAGAAATGGTGCACATATCAGTTTATGAAAAGTATGTATAATTCAAGGTTACACACCTAAATCCAAAGTACATTATTTTTAACAAGTGTCTGCAGTGTACATGTTACTGTAAGAATAATTATTTGACCCGAAACACACTACACATTGGCCTTTAAAAGAGGTGGACAAAATATATGTAAAGGGACTCAATAATTATCATTCCAGTAGAGAGGGGTGTGTGTATCTGGCCACAGTAAGATGTAGAAGCATTATGCATTTCAGGTGTGTTGGACAAAGGTACAAAATATATGCTGTGTAGGTGCCAATGATAATAAAAATTTTAATTGCATTTACAAAACTAGAATAATATGAAGTGTATGGAAAATACATCAAAAGTACTTTTTGTATATTACTGGAATTACTCTGCTTCATGATTCAAACAATGTGATAAGGTCAACATTTGGGGGATTATTATTATTAATATTTGTATTATTATTTTTGCCTTATTGAATATGTATATCTTGCATAAGAAAAAAAGGGTAGGAGGTAAAGAGATAAAAGTGAAATTTTCATTTTGTTACATAAATCACTTGGTCTCTAGGTATTCCAGCTATACTGAAAGATTGGTGTATGTTATATTCTTGATGGGAGGGATGGGGGGGTGCTATACCATAGGTCATAAAGTACCTGGGGTAATGGGAGACAATTAGGTTCAGTGCAAGGAAGGGGAGGGTTAGGTCTAATTCGTTGAATCAAGAGCCCTTCACTGGCATTATGGAACCTTCCTTACGGCGTGAAATAAAGATGTTTAGGTTTACATGGTAATATTATTTATCTCTTTAATAAAAGTTTGATGTATTAATTTCTGTTGTTGTTAGTGTAGACGTGTAAACCATACTAAGAGGCTCACTATTTTATTTTCTCAAGACTTTATGTTTTTTCTCTTGTATAAATGTTTGTTTCTTGAGCATTTTGCAAATTTTATTTGAAAACGTCTTTTACTCCAACTTTCATAGTTGCAAGCTAATGTTCATTTGTACCAATGTTATTACATTAGGTGTCTGTTTTCTTTAATATAATTTTCCAATACAGATTGAGAAACTGTGCAGGTGCAGCAATTATATGAATACTACAGTCAGTACAAGTTCCAGAATAGTTAAATAAGGTAGAGTATTTATAAGTACCTCTGAAACAAGCAACATATTATTTAAGGGGGATCTTCATTTCTTGACACTAAATATGGTGTGGGAGGCACAAATTATATTGCATAAACTAATAAAGTGTCTGACATTTTTTAAGAAGATATTAAAAAAAATTAAGAAAGCTAGTATTTATTATTCTGTCTCCATTTTTATAAGAAAACTAAAATTGTTTATAGTGAACAGTGTATATTACAGTTTAAAAAAAAAAAAGTGATACAGTAAAATCTAGCATATCTGGCAACATCAAGTCTGTTTTGGTATGTTAATATTTGGTATATTTTACTTCCAAGATTTCTTGACAACAAAAGCATCTCAAACACTTTTCATGCCATGTGTTTATGCGGTGGTGGGTTTGTGGTTGCAACATAGACTGATATACTATATGGTTACTTTGGTTTATGTTACAAATTCTTTATAAAACATAAATTTGCATTATTGCTTTTTACAAAAATAGTAAAATATAGGGTAAGAAAATATGATAAGTGTTCCAGTGGGAAAAAGAATTAAAATAATGAATGAAAGAATACATTGACACAAATCTTTTAAAATGAACTACATTGGAATTACATAACATACAAGTGTAAAATTTGCTTTTAACATTTACTTTTATTCATAGTATAGGCTAATAGTCGTGCAAGAGTGAATAAAACTATTGAAAATTAAAAAAAAATGATGACAATTACCTTTGTATGGTATACAGCCTCTCCTCACTTAACAACAGAGTTCCGTTTGTAAGACCATGTCGTTAAACGAATTCATTGCTACGTGAGGAGCACACTGTAATGGTAGTGGGTTTGTGTTGACCATCTTTGATGTTTTAATGTCACCTTTGCACCATTTATAACATTTCTGGTATATTTTTAAAAGTTTATACAGTAGTGTACTGTACATTGAAATAAACAGAATAGAGGAAATCAGCTCTAATATACATTATTTAGGTATGAATACTGGTCAGAGAGCCCGTCGTAAGTCCAAGGCATCGGTAAAAGATTACATCACTAAGTGAAGAGAGGCTGTGTTAACATACACTTTTTACACCATGTAAAGCAATCTTACATAGTAGTCTCTAAATATTGAAGCATTTATACACCTTGGTTGGTTATCATTTGACAAGTGTTTCACTGTAGTAATCCGTGAAACAAGTTGAAAAGATAATTATGATTCTTGCCATTGACTGTTACTAGCAGTTTCCAGATGATATCATTATGCACATTTACATTCTCCACAAACACTGCAAACTGTACTATATTTTGTATATAGCCACATTGATATCACTGTCACTACAATCTGGAATACTATTGACACTCAAAACTAAGACACTCGCCAGTGGCCTCTTGATAGATTCATGCACCTCATTTATGTTTAATTCAATTTCTTCACAAAAACTAATATATTTTAATATAGAATCATTGGTATCATTGTCATTGCTATCTAGAATACTATTGTACAATAATATAGTTTCTGTTCCTACAAAAACTGAGTCCTCTGTGACTACCAGAATGTTGCTAGACATCATACTGTTGTAGCATAAAGGACAAGATTTTCTTCTGGCTGGATGTAAAATTTGTTCATAGTAAAGATATTATCTCAACATAAATTACAGTATTCTCTCACATAACACGGTACAATAACTAAATGGTTATAACTGACCAAAAGCTCCAATGGCGGGTCATCATCTGACTAAGACCTGCGTCAGGAAACACTTGGCCTGTTTCCTGACGAACCTTACCAAATCTAACCTAACCTACCATAATACGGTGGTTATGTTCCTGAAAACAGCACATTAGGCAGAATCTGTGTTACATGGACTTAGGAAAAATAGGGCTATGTTCTTAAGACCTAAAAAAAATATCTTGCCTAAAATTCTAGTTGTTGCATAGTGATATGCAAGTGTGTGAAGAGGGTGAATGTGATCATGTGCAAAAGTGTGGCAAGCAGTATCATCTACTAGTACTAGCACTTACTACCACTAACACCACCTACTGTATAATTTCTAAGGCCTAGGGAGAAGCTAGCTGTTGACTCAGTTTAGTGTACATTTCTTCCACAGAATGAGCAGGGCTTAATATGGCAATACCATGCTGGCCCACAAAACCAATAAAAAAAAAAACAGCATCACAGTAAAGAATATATTTTCACTATACAACTTTCTCATTTAATAAATTTTTCATGCAATTATCAATCACCGCCAACATATTCAACAATTGTATAAGTACAACTAGGATAGGTATGTGGCTGTTAAAGGTACCGGAATGTGTAATTGCATTGTAATTATGGGTTATTAGCCTTCACCACCTCCCATCTTCACTATACACCTCTCATACCTGGACTCGTCCTTCCCTTCCTTGGCTTGAATCTGAATGCCTCCCAGGTGTTGTATGACCCCTATGGGTTTAGCACCTGCTTATGATTAAAACAAAAGTACCTAAATTTTCTTAGAAACTGTTAATTTCATGCTTAAATTTCTTGATACCTCCCAAATTACTAGTATTATTCTTGGGTGCCATGGTTAATATCCTGAGACAATATGGATTGATGGAAAGATTAAAAATTGAGTGAATAACACAGTCAAGTAAGGTTCTGGATGTGCATACACAGCAAGTAGCAGCATGGATAGTTGTTTACATCAAGGTCTGAGACTAAACCTCCTCCCTAGAAACCATGGCCTTTCCTGTAGGCTAACTGCAGATAGAGGAGAATTAGTCCATGGACTGTTATAATGGAATTTGGCATGGAATGTGGACTGATGTTTATTTTTGCCCAAATTTACAGCATGCTACACCAATTTTTACCATGCAACTTGAAATTGGATAACAGTATTTCATTATTGTATATAAAAAGTTTGTGGATGCATGTTTTGTGAGAGTCAACTGTATGTCACATGCTGTTAAATTTTAACCTGCTGTGATTTATATGTGCAGTGAACCCAATGTAAGGGTTAATTTTTTATTAATAAAATTTATGAACAGTTAAACAAGGTTTGATATTGTACAAATGCATCTTCCAATACCTACCTGTTCAGGAGTGAATTCCTTTTAAACTCCATAAAAGAAAATATCAAAATTCTTGTTATAGGGCACTGTTCTTGCTATTCTTTTAAAATTAATAATCTCTCATTTTCTGACTAATATTCATTCTTTTGAATGTACTACTTCTTGAAACACAAAAGTATTATAAGTTTAGCTGAGGAAGATTCAAAATAAACATGTTGCCATCTGAGCACAGCACATTTAAATTGAAGATTACAAATGTGACAATGGTGAAAAACCATTATGAAATTTAGAAATATTAATGAAAAAAAAAGTGTCAAATCAAGGTATTGTACAACAAAATTGTACCTTTGATTGGTTTAAAATCCTGCTCTTTCAGCCCAGCCTGAGGTTAAACTTTAATGTTGATTGCCTGATTAACCAGGCTATTGTTGCCTGTGGCAGTGTTCTGGCAATATTTTGCATATTTGCTAATAGAACGCTGAAAAATTTTTGACGCCAAACATTGTGTCTTTGTGATTGTGGTACCTCTCGTTTTCTTTAGGTTTATACTACATTTCCTGCTGTATCTTATCCCAGTATGTGGCTATGGCAGAGGTACTGTAATCTCTAAATGATATATCATCTGACATAATTTTTCTCAAATTTTCTACTTGCTCCTTCATTCGTTGAAAATATTTGACTGTTTTATACCCTGTATTCATTTTAAAAGCTTAATTTTTTCTATGTTAAAGCAGTGTGAATTTGTCATTGTTCAACATCTTGTTATTTTTCTTTGCCCACTGGAAGACTTTTATTGATATGCCTTGTAGTTTTTTAGTGCAAATTTCTGAGTCAACTTTTATGCTTATTTTGGTATTATCCACAAATATGCTACAAAGCTGTTGTTTGTGTTTTTGCCTGTCTGCTATGTGAATGAGGAACAAAGGTGCCAGGACCCAGCCAGTGAGTTTTCCTGCCACCCCACCTGCCCTTCATCTGTCACTACTAGTAAAAGTAACTTGGCACTAGGTCACCAAGCTGGTCAAAGCAAAGCACATTTAGATATGTTTTAAATATATTATGTACGTAAAACAGCTGAAAACTACTATAAATGCCAAAATATTAAGACTTTTTTTTTTAATAATGTACAAATATCAATATCTGATATGTAATTTAAAAAAATGATGAGCATTTAATTGGAATCACAAATAACTAAGCTGACATTATTTTTCCATGCTGCCAAGCCTCACTCTTCATCCTTGCTGTCACTGGTAAAAAAAAAAAATTGCTTTGCAGCAGGCACTTAGGTCATGATGCTGGTTTGAGTTTAAAAAAAAAAGTGTTTGGTAGTACAGGTATTGACAGAACAAACTCCCTTATGTCCTTCCCAACCACAATTAATCTCTATACTACCACCACTGCCATACTAGCTATACCATACCAGTAATTATGTGAATCTTAATTATCAAAACAAGGGAACTGGTAATTGAAATTTGATAATTACTGGGATACCAGATATGCCAAGTTTTACTGTACCTTCTTTTGGCCACATTGAACTGGGGTTCCATCAGATACAAATATTTAGTGGTATTCTGTTTGCTTGATGAGCAAAACAGATTTATGCTGTACATATTTTGAATTGTCCATTATTTTAAAAAAACAAGCAAGAATTTGTTAGTAGGCAGCTATAGTGTACTGCCAAGACTTGTTAGTTTATGCAAACAGCACATAATACTGTACTGTGCCATCAACCAAGATAAATACTGAAAGGAATTAATTTTGTTTATTTTTGTACATGTTGACATAAATTTACCACAGTTCACTTGTCTTTTCTGTGTCAATAGTATGTCTGAAAATCCAGTAATGGTGAACATAGCCATGTATACTCAGCTCTCTTAACTTCACAATGGTTTCATTCCAGTAAAGAGGCATGAAGATCGATTTCATGATATCGGATCTTATAACATAGTAGTGTAGGAGTTTAATTTCAGCCCCTTTCTTTAATGACCAACCCATATATAAGTACAGTATATCCAAAAATATATTACCCCAGAAACCTCTTAATCTAGTGGAGTTGCTATATCAACATAATGCAGCATGCTCAGAGAAAACTACCTATTCAGTGTTCATTTTTTTTTTTGTGCATAATGCCAATGACCCTTGTAAGTTTAGCACTTCTTTTTTATTATATGTAATAATAATAATTTGCATAACACCATGAAATACACGACTACAATTATAAAAATGTACCTCAGTAAAAAATAGAAATGCCCGACTGCTGTCATGTGATTATATATCGTCAGAAGACCTAAAGAAAAGACTAATACAGTAGGGTCCCGCTTTACGGCGCTCCACTAATACGGCGATTTCAAATTATGACCAAAACTTGCTATACAGTGAGTGGTCTTTCTAATACAGAGCGCCCACCCAGTTTGTTTACATTCTCCGTGAGCACATCTCTCTATTATGTCTGGAAATTTTCCAAAATTTCAAGTGTTTTAAAGTTATTGTATATTTCATATGTACTCTGATAATTATGCTTATGTGTACCTGTACCTTAATACACTTACACACTGTGCGGCATACAGGTACTACCGCATTAAAATCGCTAAAAGTCTTTCTACTCGATGCATATAATAATCTTGTGGGCTCATTAAATATTGTATATTACATTAATATAGGCATTTCCATTAATCAATCTATAATACTTTTTCAAAATTATATAATAAACATGCTACATAACATATTAATATTATACATACACCCACGGTATAAAAATTGACATAAATATGAGATTTGTTTACCAAGCAGTTTGTATGGGTGTCGGAAGAATTACGTTATCTCTAGTCAAACACCAGTTACTTAACTGTAGAAAAATATTCCTTTCGTATGCCTTCACTCTATAGCTATTCATGACCCTTGTGGGTTTAACGTTATTTATTGTGTACTAGCTTGTCAGAACATCATTTCTAAAAATGATATTATATGAGAATGGAAGTGTTGGTCTTTATTTATTCTACTGTACCACTGTGGAGACAACTTGTACACAATGTAAAGTGTTTGTATGAATGTGTATGAACCATAACCAGATGCTTTGTCTGTTTATTTACATAGTACGTACTCTGCATGGGTTGGGTGGCAAGGCGGGCTACCCTACCTCCTACACCTGACTTTCTACAAATAAATACTTTTCATCTCTCACCCTGCATTAAGGCCATTTAGACTACAAATATTTTAAGGTAGGTAATGAGTGTACTGTATATGGATTTTATCACTCTAGGGCACTTTAAACATCATAGGCTACCACAACTACCCACACCTTACTTCTTACAATAAGTATTACTCACCTTTTGCCCTACATTAAGACTACAAATATTTTGAGGTAAATAATGAGTGTACTGTGTGTATATTTTAATTTTTATTGTTTTTCAATGCCTAGTTCTATTGCTAACTTAATATATGTTAGTGTAAACTTGTTATCTGGCATTTATATGCATTTATAGTGGAAAAAAATGGTGCTCTGCTTTCGGTAGCCTGGAACCTAACCTGCCATATAAGTGGGGCCCTACTGTATGGTACATTTTATAGGTTAAAAAAAAGTTGTTCCTAAGTGAAGTGCTAGCATAAGTATCCTTGTAAGCCCCTTAAGAAAGAGTGAGCTATGCCATCCCTTTAAGGTACAATTTATTAATTCAAAGGATATTAGAAAGCACTGCTTTGGCAGTAAAATTATAGATGAGTGGAACAAACTGCTATAGCACCTTGGACAGCTTTAAGAACAGGTCAAACAAATATATTAGTGGGAAGGAAAGAATGTTAATAGGCCCCCCATTTAGCATGGGATAGTAAGCCTTTTGCAGTACTTCATTGTGTTTCATATAATAAACTTTCTAATTTTTGAAATGAAACTGATGAAAATGATTAAATAAACTACAGACTTCACAATGGGTAATAGTCATGGTATAATAAAATGTACAGTGGAACACTGGTACTCGAACTTAATTCGCTCCAGAAGGCTGTTCGAGTGTCAGTCTGAGTACTGAACGAATTTTTCCCAATTTTCTTTTTGGTTGGCCGTTATCATTAATCTTCGTAGGCCCCATGGTGACTTATTTATACAAATATAAAAAACCCCAAAAAATGCGAAGAAACAGAATAGTTCACACTGAAGTTCTGACAGGTCGTATCTGTTTGGTCAAGTACTGATCAAATGG